GGAAACAATCTTTCAGCTCTACTGTAAAAATAATACGTATCTGTTTACATTTACACCATTGATGCTGAGATTCAAGACCTAAAAAAACCTAGGCTAAATCCAGACCCAATGTAAGGTGGTAAGCGATCACTGACTTCAGCATAGTGGTGGCATTGCACTTTTTGATTGGGTCAAATACTCTATTTGTAAAGTGGGAAAACCTCATCCAAGGTGTCTAGAGCCCAAGGATGTATTGCATAAACTTGGCCATATCAGGCTTCTTGAGACTATCAAGCCAGCATGATACAGATGCAATTTCAGGAGAAAAGTGATTCATCAGGAACTAAAAGAGCACCTATTGCCTTCAAATCTGGGGGGCTTATGTTTGTTTTTAATCCTCTTCATGAAGTCAGGCCCTGCCATCAGGCTCGGCAATCCCTTCAGCCCTTCAGACCTAATATTTTGCTGTGAGGGTGCCTACGATCATTGCAGAGGGAGGGGGCTTCAAAAGCAGCAGGTGGGTCAAAAGCAGCACCTTCATTTCCAGTGAAACATCTGAAGAGCTTGTTGTGCAGATGGTGGGTGCGGAGGAACCTGGCAGGGAAATAACGGACCTGCTTTGGCTATAAGAAAAGCAGCTGAGATCAGTCAGAGCTTAGAAGAGGCACAAAGCCTCCAGCTGATCTCCAAAATGTGTGACGAGGTCTCCAAAAAAATGATTATAGTGTCAGAGAAGTGAAGCTCACTCAGCATGTGCTTGCAGTGCATGATCATAATGAGATCACTTGTTTGGGACAAACTCAAAAGGGAGAATGAGTCACTTCTGGGATACAGGAGCGAATTGAAAGAGATTGGATATTTCAGGAACTTTTGTTTGCTGAAGTGTTTCCTGAAGATCCCTTTGCTACAGAGCTACATTCCTCAATGCTCACATAAAGATTACTGCATCATTATTCACTTGCTGGTGTAAAAGTGTATCTGCCTTGCACCAAAACTCTCCCTCTTGTGAATTCATCAATATCAGTGGAGTTACACAGGGGGGTCAGTTTGGCCAACGGAAACCACTAGAGGGATCTCAGAAGTCTGAACTGAGAGCTGGAGTAGGTGAGGTTTTCACTTCTGTTACACACACTTATAAACATCAGATGCACTCTGCACCGAAACAGGTAAGGAAATCCTCTGCAGAATCAGAGACATCCCCACACAAATACCTCTGGATCCTACAGCACTGAGCTGTCAGTCTCAGTCTTCATGACTGGTACCTGCTTTGGGGTTGAGCTATTCAGAATCGGTTCAAAGACTTAAAACAACAAAATGTGACATGTGCACTCATATCAGATGAGGAAATAGAATTTGCTTGTTCTGTGTTATCTTACAACTCTTTGACTTCCAAATGCAGAGCCACACTACCACAACTAGTTTTAGCTTATATAAATTCTCCTTGCATACACATACATGAACAGTTGTTTACACACACATAGGGAAGACCCTAAGGATACTTCTGATCTTTCTGTTAAAGAGCAGCAGAGTCATGCAAAGGGTGAGGGGTTTGTCCATCCAGGATAGAGATTTATTTTAACAATAGTGCCTGTCAGGTTTGAACATACTTTTATTTATTTATGATTTATTTTAACATCTTTGTTCTATGAAATTTTAATTGGATCTAATACAGCTACACACTATGGAAGATATTCAGTAGCATATTCTGTGATTAAACCAAATTGGAGAACTTGAATGACGACTACGTTTGCTGATGGTAGGTGACCAGGTACTCAAAGAAGCTTCATTATTCTCAACAAAGTTGTCGTCAGAGAAGCACAAGTTGACAAGCTATCCTGTGGGATCCGGCAAGCTCCCAGGTGAAGCAATATTTTTTTGTCTGTCAAAACATCTTAAACCCCTAAAAATATCTGGAAGTCAAATAGACCAGATAATAGGACCCCTTCAGCCTCTACAGCACTGGATCATTCACCCCTTGCCATTATTCTCCATTTGGCACCTAACCTGACTATCATGAATCACTTGGTTTATTTATCAGAATATATTCTCCTTTGCAATCACTGTGATCTGTATCAAAATGACCAAATGACTGTCATTTCTGCTTTTGTTAACTTCTATTCCAATTATTGCATTGGCAATAGGTGCTGCACAAACACACAGTGAGAGCCGGTCTTTCTTCTGAGGACCTTTGTTTAAACAGACATGACAGCCAACAGGGAGGAGAGGCACAGAGCTGTCCAATCTCAGCTCAGCCGGGGCATGGTTCTGCCACCCCAAGTGAGGAGTGTGTGAGAGCAGAGCTGGAGGGAAGCCACACATATCCAGACAGGGGTCAATGCCCTCATCTTGTGCCAGCCAGAATATTGTCTATTAACTATACGTTAAAACCCTTTGTGTCAGAAAATCCTCTGCAATAGTTTAGAATAAATAATCATTTTCTGGACCTGGAATTCTGTCTACTTTTATGGAGGCCTGGCCTCAAAGGAGGACATGGATGTATACAGGAGTTGCAAGTTCACAATTTTTGCTTTCATGCTGTATAAACCTGACATGCATATCCCTATTTTATTTTATTTTCTTTTTTTTTTAATTTGGTGAGAATTGCTGTACTATACAAGTCTGCAATGGTCTATTGGGAACAGACCCCAGACTAGGAAATGGAGAGTTTAGATATTATAAACTGCTAGTAATTTATTATTTTGAGATTGGCATATATTTTGGCAAAGTTAAAGTTGGCTGGAGTGATATTGAGTGATGAAAGATGTTATGGCATTTGAGAAGTGGCTGAATCCCTCTGTTTCCAGACTTTTCACTTTTTTTTTAAGGCATGGAATGTTTATATAGAAAGTGTAAAGTTTTATGAGTACTTGCCGGACCCTGCTAAAACTAAGTGTTCAAGCTTTATTCTCTTAACAAAGTGTTTTGTTATGGAATTCCTCTGGGGTTTGATGTTTCTAAATTAGGGTTAAACCAGGCTGGTATGTGGAGGCCATGGGAGAACAGCCCAGAAGTGAGAAACTGTCTGATGCCTAAGAGTGTGCTTCATCTCCAGGGGGTGATGTGATGGCAGGAAGAAGAGGGCTTCTCAACTGAGCATGAAGAAACCTTAACATAGGGGCACAAAAGGGAGAAAATGGGGCTTTTAAGTGCTGGGAAAACTTTCAGCATGTGAAGAGTTTAACATCTTTAATGTAAGAAACCCTGCCTGACACTTGCCTCCTCTCTTGGCCACCAGAGCCTGCTTGTTTCACATGCCTCACTTCCATCATCTGGGACACATGAGTACTTTTGGTTAGCCCCACGGTTATAAACTAACAGTCCTCTTTCCTGCTCGTCTCTACTTTCCCCTCCAAGACTGTGGTATATGATGAGCCATGATACACTCAAGAAACACATTCTTGTTTCTGATATTTCTGTCCACATTTCCTCTACATTTATCTCCTCCAAGTTGGCTACTCACAAAACTCATTGGCTTCCTTCCCTCAGTTTGGCCTGTTAAACCTTGGAGTCCTTCTCCAGCCCTTTTGTTTTTACAATAAAGGACAGCCTGTGTACAGAGCTGTATGCCACAAGATCCCAGGACATTGTGGCAGCATGGAGACAACTTTAAACCATGAAGAAATAGAAGCTGCTAAAACACACTCAACTCAGTGTTTCAGGGTTGTCAGTCATCACATCAGGGCTCCCCTCAAACTGAGTACAAGTAAAAAGAGCAGAGTCTCTGATAAAGCTAGGAAAAACCAGCTCGAGACTAACTCACAAAGCTTATTAGGAACAAGAGTCAGTTTTCTGACTGTGTAATGCAGTCTGTACTGTGATAACTTTCTGAGTCTGTATTCTCCAATTTAATACTCCACTTTAATGAAGACCTCACATAATGCTTCCACTCTGCTCCTGCCTGCTTGCATTATAATCTTCATAAAATTCTTTTACCAAGTAGCATTATGCAATTCCAGCTCCTCAAAAGACAAAGCACAGGTTATCATCTTTCCTGCCATGGCAATGCTAGGGGGCAAATAAGGCAAGAAGGAAAGTAGCAAGGGGAAAAGCAGACGAGCTTGTTTCAGAGAAATGTAAGAACCAGGCATATGAACCCTCATCCCTACTAAAAGAAAAGACCAAACTGCCAGTGGCTTCAACAAGATAAGCATTATATCTCTAAACTATACAATTTTTATTTAGGTTTTTTTCAAACTCCTGAACATATATATAGATTTAGCTTAGCACTGTGAGGCCTCAGCTGGAATACTTTTCACAGTTTTGGGCACTGCATTTCAAGAAAGATGTGAACCAACTGGAGAGAATCCAGATGAGAGCAACACGAATGATCAAAGGTCCAGAAAATGTGATGTATGAGGAAAGACCAAAGGAATTGGTTTTGTTTAGACTAGAGAGGAACAGTCTGAGGGGAGACATGACAACAGCCTTTAGACACGTTAAAGACATCGGCAAAGGGGAAGATAAACTGTTCTCTGTTTCTACTGGAAGTAGGCTAAAAAGCAATGGATTTAGGTTACAACAGCAGAGATTCTGATTAGACTTTAGGAGAAACTTTCTACTGGTTACAGCAGTTATACCTGAGAAAGACATTGCCTACAGAAACTGTGGGATCCCTTCATTTGAGGTCTGGGTACTTGTATACTGGGGTCTGCTTTGTGGCAGATGCATGAACGGTAAGACTGGTCCAAGCCCTTTTCAGTTTATTCTCCCCAGTGTTAGGAATGCAGGAGGGAGACTGCACACGAACATAACAATTTTTTCTGAAGGAATTTGGACCGCCTGACCTGAGTGGTCTTTGAACAGGAGATTAGTTGTAACCTCAACTACAAAGTTAGTATTGCTACCTTATAACCATTACAAACTGTCTGCAACTACCAAACTCAGGAAAACAGGAAAATAAAGTTCTGGGGTTTATCTGCTCTAAAGATCCTGGACACTGTTCTGGCAGTGGAGGCCTATATTAAGAAGCCTGGGTGAAAATGAGCATAGCATCCTAAATATTGTAAAACATACCATCCAGTGATTTCTATGAACTCTGATATATATAGAAAGATTTAATACAGGAAGGAACCCAAACATGTGACACCTTGCTGGAAAGTAGAAGATTACATAGTAAAACATGTATTTTGGAATGAATTTACAATGAGTTTTAACTATAAAATGGAATCAAAGAAAAAACAGGAGAGACTAAGAGAAACGCAGGGTGAATTGAGACAAAGTGCCTGACTGATAATTCCAGCGATAGTTGGGAAGGTAAGTTAGCACTTCTGAGATCCTTTGTTTCAATAAGTGACTTTTTGTTTCTTTTTTGTGCTTTTTTTGTCTGCTTTCCATTTATAATAATAATAATAATAAAAAGCAAGATTGCAAAAGCCAGCTTTTTCCTCAGTTTCTTTGGTGCTTTTTGCCAAGCAGCCTTGGAGCTACAAAGGTTCACAATCTTTGAAATATAAGACTCATACCCTAGCAGTGTTTACAATGGAAAGAAGACTCCTTAAAACGTATGACCACATAGAGAATCATATGGGATCTGCTGACAATACATCTTCGGATATCTGCAGCCTGGTAGGGGCTGTGCATGAAAAGGCCTCACTCCTCAGGCAGGCATAGGTCACGGGTCTGTAGAAGTACTGATTTGTTTTGGAGCTGCTATACGTACTGGCTTCTGAGGAGAGTTCTGCAGGGGAAGAGCCGTCTCTTATTTTAATGTTTTCAGAGCATGAACTCAGGGTTTAGAAGGAGTATTGTGATACGTATATCCTCAGTCGGATGACAGAGCTTCCTCTGAAGTTGATGACGGTGTTAACAGTGATCATTTCCAAGTCCAACTCAATAGTACGGGGGCCCTTCACAGGGCGAGTCATCACCAGAGTAGCACTGATTGGTCCTGTTTGCTGTGCACAAAACAAGAGAAAGCAGGTAAGATTGCCTGTTATTTGCTATTGCCTCACTCCAGTCTTCAAGGAGTCAAAATAAATGGCTCCTGTTGCATTGTTTGAAGCCACTGAAATTCAGGGGAGAGATAGCTTGACTTCAAAACTTGGCTCCATTTCACTGTTTTGTATGAACTATCACCTTCCACAGTTTGTAGAGCCTTTGGGAGCCCTGAATACAAAAGGAGCTATTGAACATAGAAATTTGCTGTTGTCCAAAAGGGAAAAGATGAAAACAGGGATTTAGGGTATAAACATGTACTGACACCTTTTTTTTTTTGGGGGGGGGGGGGGAAGGAGAGAAGATATTTTGTTTGATGTAAAGAACATTATTATTTTGACGCAGTGAACACCAAGAAGGGCTTATGTTAACAGGTCTCAAACTCAAAGAATAGATGGTCCTGTGAACAGGATCAGGGTTTGTTATATAATTGTATATATTAACATCACAAAACCTTACCCTCTGAAGAGAGCTTTAAGTATGTGAAGGCAGTTCAGAAAAATCTGTCTGTAGTAAGTGGAAGCAGACCTTTGAAATATTTGGCCAGAAAGTGGATTATGAACATTTAAGAATCAGAGCTTCTGATGTTAAGACCAAATGCATTTTGTTTATTTTTTTCTGGCAGAAACTTATGTACAAAAAGAGTTACCTGTTTTATCACTAAACTGAGCAATTTGTGTTATCTCTGATCAGAGAAGCCCAACAAAGCTGTGGGAAGCTGGACGGCCCCCAGTGCCTCAGCCGCCGGGCGCAGGGTCCGGGCTTTTGCCCTTGCCCCGCCTTTCCCTCTTCCCAAAGCAACGAAACAACGACTGGGCACCACCTGCTGGCTACGACCTGAGCGGAGAAAGAAGCTGCTGCCAGGGGAGGGGTAGCTTGTGCGAACGGAGTGGCTTAGGTGACAAATAAACGGTGGTGTGATAAATGAAGAAAACAAGCAACTTGAGCAGTGATACTGATCGCTGGAGCCTTAGCATCTAGTGGGTCAACCCAGATGAATGGGAAAGGCTGGTGGCATCAGTAGTGGCTTTGCAACAAGAAAGCTCTTGTGAGATGTAAATGATCATTCTGGGACCACTTGTCATTCCGGTATTTTGAAATATTTTCCTCTTTTTCCAGTGAGAATCTGAGGCTCCTGTGAGAAAATGGAATCTATCACACTATTGATTTCTGTGGGCAACGGGAAGTATCAATAGCTGCTGAATATTACTTAATGTGAATATCAAAGGCAGGTTTTGCCTAGGGTTAAAAATCAACCTTTTGAATGTCACCGTTGCTGGTGTCTCTGCCTCATTCTGTGCAGATGCTTCCCATTGTCCCTACACATCAGAGGTGCAGTAAACATGACTGGACAACAGAGATGTCTTCTGAGGAAAATTCAGATTAAAGAAAAAAGTAGTTGTGTATTCCTCTAACAATAAATACATAAAATGTGTATTCTCAGTGAAAAAAATACATAACAAATGAAAGAAAAGAACCCAGAAAATCAGTTACTGAGATAAAGGCTGAGGTTTGGTGGGGGGGGGGGGGGGTTGTTTGGTTGTTTTTTTCGTTTGGTTGCTTCTTTACTTTGTGATTGTTATTTTTTTCCAATTCCCAATGAAGAGTTTAATACAGCAAACAAGAGAAGCTGATTCAGTGACAGTTACTGATTGTCCATCAAATATAAAAGGTTTGGCACATAGTTTCTCTTCAGCATGGGAGCTCTGAGCTTTTCTTAGACATGGGTAAAGCCTTGGGTTTTCCTGAACCTAATGTCTCAAAAAAAAAGTGTGTTTGCCTTGAGTCAGTTACAGTCCTGAAGGAGCCAGCAGCCTCTGCAGATCAGCTCACTCTTCACATGTCTGCATGTGAAAGTGTTTCATACTCAATCTTCAAACAATATTCATTAAAAGTAAGTTCTGCTATGAGGATATTCAGCTCACGAGACGTTAACTCAGTGTTTTCTCCCACTGAGCACCAGACTTACCCGCATGTAGAACTCCCTGCCCTCATTCCCTGATTTGATTTGGAAGATATAGTAGGCTCCAGGGTAGCGAGTTGTTGCTTGCATCTGAAAAATGTCAGAAGGCACAGACCGCCCGGACACCATATCCATCACTCTGTACAAGATGGTGAATGGCTGATCTCTGCAACCGGCGTTTTCAGCTGGACACATGCAGCGGCTAATTGTTAGAGATAGGATTGTCATCAGAGGTTAAAAACTGCTGTAATATTTGATTCTTTAATGCAAATACAGCTGCTTAAATAAATAAACAAATAATGTTGTTGACCAGAAAAAAAAGAATCAGTGAAACTTGTAATGAATTTTCTTACTTTTTGTATTCTCTCTGTTGCTATTCTGACCCACCTATATCCCTGCCTTATTTTGCTTGTCTTCTAGGCCGAAATATCTTGGCATCCTTTGTCTCCTTAGAGACAACATTCTTATACATCAGCTTGTCCAGCTTCCCCTTACACCCACATGAATGCTTGCCATCTGCAGCCAGGAGCTCCACAGCCCCCCTTCACCTCTCTGCACTGCCCCTTGCTGGCTTTGATGCTTCCAGAGGGAGCAGCCAGGCGACCCCTGCTCATCCTCCTCACACAACTCAGGGTTTCATATTTGACCCTGCTCATGGCTGAAGAGTCTTAACAAGGAAGTTATTTCATACTTCTGATCATCCTCACTGCTCTTCATGAACTTTTGTCCAGTTACATTTCTTTTTCAAGGAAGAGAAGGAACTGCACAGTCTTGAAGATATGGGTACACAATGGCGTGTGCTCTAAGGACATTATCTACCTATTAACAGCTCAAATTCAGATTGCTTTTCAGATCATTAGGTAAGTAATCTCAGTTTGGGTGGATTATGATCAGATCAGTGCTTTTTATTTAATTTGGGGTTACATTCATCTACACTGAATTTCATCTGCTACTGTTATTGCAAAGTCATTAAGGCTCCTTCTGCACTTCTTTTTTGACCACCACTTTTCTCTACTGTCCTCAGGTAGTCCTGCAGACTTTGTCCATCTTATGATTTATCCTTGCTTACAAATGTTTTGCAGAGTAGGTCCAGCTCAAACTCCTGCAGAACTTCACTGTGAAAGTTGACAATTTAATACTGTATTTACTTTTTCTCTTTTAACCTCTTATTCTTTGTGCCAGGGACTACTCCCTTCCTTATGGCTGCTTAATTTCCATAAGATTATGTGAGGCTCTCTGAAACCAAGGAGACTGCATCAGCCCATGTGCCCTAGCCACATACTGCTGATCTCTTCAGAAAACTCTAGTAAAGTTGTGAGGCAGGATGTCACGTTATAAAGGCCATGCTGGGGAATTTACTGGAAGAGAGTTGTGTCTTTGTGCTTATTTTTTCTATTACCTCCACTACTGACACCAGTTTAAGACAGTTCATCTGGCACGATCACCATAAGAAGGCTCCTGGCATTACAAACACCCAATTCCTTCCACAGAAAACACAGATGCAAGGAATTCACATGGCTTTTATACTGACCACTTCTAGACAGATGCCACAAATTAAATACTGTCACACCTAGGCACCAGCCAAGGCCACCAAATACAAAGCTCAGAGATCAAGAGTTCTAATGCAAGCTGACCTGTGAGGACTCTATAGTTGGGCTCTGGGGAGTTTTAGATCATAAGACTGCAGAATATAGAATGTTTTTTAGGTGGAAGGGACCTTAAAGATCCCCTAGTTCCAACCCCCTTGCCACAGGCAGGAACACCTTCCACTAGACCAGGTTACTTAAGGCCCCCTCCAACCTGGCAACCTATACAGAGATTTCAGATGTTTAAAAATCCAGTTCAGATCATAGAATCATAGAATAGTTAGGGTTGGAAAGGACCTTAAGATCACCTAGTTCCAACCCCCAAACACTATGAGTGAAATATTATGGGCAAAATACTATGGGCTGCAATATACAGACATGTCTGGAGCTGAAATATTTTGAGCCCCAGAAAAACATCTACAAAAATGTAAAAGAAACAGGCAATTTTTGGAAATGTGGGGTTTCTTTTTTGATTGCTCAAATAATTCCAAATGTAGGCAGTAACAGTGCTAACAGCCTACCCAGACATACTAGATTTCTGCACAAGGCAAATCAGTCTATGGACTTTTCAGCATCTCTAACCTTTAAGCACTAGGAAACTACCTGTGTTCTGGTATAACTGTCATCTAATGTTTTAAATTACTTCCCAGACATAAGCTAGTTCATATTTACAGGAAATATACATATTAATAAACAGACTGAATTTGAGCATATATGAAGTCAGTAATATAAGTAAATGTCTTATTACATTGCAAACCTTGCTGTTTTCTCTACTCCCTGATAAGTGTTATTCCAGTCTAACTGCCCACACATCTGAGCATCATATCATATCCCACCTGGTGATCTGGTAACAAACTGCAATTTCTTATATTTACAAAGCTTATCAATGGTAAATGCAGCAACAGCATGTACACATAGCTTTCTAGACCCATTTCATGGCTGTGTTATGAAAATGCAGCCTGTCTGGTTCACTCTAGATATGTTTCACACAGAGAGAATTTGCTTTTGTGGCTGTGGGTTCGTTACTCACTTCTCATTAATCTGGATATAAGGATCCTCACATCGTACTGGGTCTAAACATTTATATTCTCCTGGGATATTGAAACATGTTTGCTGCGGAGTGCAGGTAAAATTTCTGGTTTCACATTCATTGATATCTAAAACACCAGAAACAAGAGAAACGGTAAATCAGCAAAATACGCGCAAGACACCACTCTTACAAGGCTGTTTCCATCTTAAGGGGTTGCCCCAAAATTCCTAACACTCTTGCACCATGAGAAGTGGTCTTTTGTTAACTGGCCCCTGTTTTAAGATCAGTTTTTACTCCATTCATTTCTGCTGTTGGAGAGCTCCCATATGCTGACCGCTGCAAAAATAGGAAAGAAATTGGCTGCTCAAGCTCTCTGACCTTAGAGAATGGGAAAACTAAAGAGAGACGTGCAGCAGAGAGGAATGCATCTGAGGGCTTTCCCATGTAGCTGTTCCTAGTCAGTAAAGTCTTACACCAACGAACCAATTCACCTCAGCGGGACTATTCACGTGACAACATTCTTACCAGAATTACATAATTGGCCCCTACGAGTATTTCACTGCGCAGTGCCAAGACAAAGCATCTCAATTCTTGAAAACCTTTCCAGACACAGAACTATTTTCTGGTCCCCTTGGGTTTTAATCAGTGCAGGAATGTTCTTACCTTGGCAGCTTCTGTTATCATCAAGCAAATTATAGCCCGAAGGACAGATACAGTAGTAAGAACCAGGCCCATTCACACATTCATGCTGGCAGAGGAACTCTGAGAAGCTGCATTCGTCCATGTCTGCAGTGGTAAAACAAAATTTAGTGTCTTTGGCTTTACAGTCAAAGGAGCAGTCCCACAGGCAGGTGGCCATCCAGACTAGGTGCCCATCACTCCAGCTGGAGGTGATGGGCACCCTCCAGCTCCCTAGAGCTTTGGAGCAGCCTAGCAAAATGCTATGCAACAAGTTCATGGTTAAACACTTTTTTTCCTCAGGAAATCAAAACTGCTGCTGAACACAATGCATTTTATTTATTTATTTTTGTTTTCGAATACCTGTCAGCAGTTGGCCAGGTTTTCAGTTCTGTTTTACGTCAGAGATAGAGCCACTCCAACAACAAAGCTGCAACTGTAATTTGAAAGGAGAGACTTGGCAATGGTTTTCTTTGCTTTCTTTCCCCCTCTTTTTTTCTGGACAGCAAACTTCCCTTTCCCAGGGCCACATGGGTCCCAGCAGAAGTCCTGCAGCCAGCCCCGGCTGTTTTATATTTCTTAGCCTCTAGCCAGTTACTTCCAAGGCATTCCAGCAAGACTACAGAGCTCATCCCTGCTTGGGCCAGACCTACTGGAAGGCTCAGCCATCTCCCAGATACCCAGGAAGCTAAGCAGTCTGTCAAATCTTTAATTGAAAGCAGAAACTGTGCTCTTTTCCCCTTGCACTCATTAATTGATCAGTCATTTTAGTCTGCAGAGCTGCACTTAAGTGAGAAATAGGAACTTCAGAGCTGCACATGGAGGCATGGCTGACTGAAGGGAAAACACATGCAAAGGCACTAGACTGAGGGAGGCTGCAGTTAATCATTTCCTTATTTCCCTGTTCAGGGGAAGAAAGAAACAAAGGCCAAAGCCCCAGCCAGGAACTCCCAAGTTCTTATTCCCAGCTCTAACATGTTGACTCTCCCAGGCAAACCACTTTTACTCTTCAGACTGAATTTCCCTTTCTTCTAAATTGGGCTCAGTCCATTTATCCACTTTCAGTGTTTTGTGCAGATGGACTGGAAAGTATTTGAAGTCCAAATATGTTAAAGTGGCTTTATGGCTGTAGCCACATTATCAAAAGACAGATGAAAGGAATTCTACACCTACATAGTCCTGTTATTGTGTGACTTGGCCAAGTGAGTTTGCTGATAAAAACCCACCTTCCTAACAAAACATGGACTGAGGGCTGAGTCCATAAAGCGACCGAGATATCACCCACACCCTCCAGGTGTCCAAGCCCACACCTCCAGCACATCGAATTCATGCAACCTGAGCTCACCTGGAGGTGCTGGAGGGACTTAAATCCCCAAGGGTCCTACATTTCTGCCACTGAGCCCACACAAGGCAGGCACACCTTTACTGTCCCTAAACACTTTTTGCCATTCTGCTGACTATCTGCAGAGGACAAGATGGTAGGCATTTCAGAGCACATCTAACGCACATGCAAGACCCCTGTGACTAGAAAATACTGCCAGTGTTTTGAAAGCCAGGTTGAAATCTCTGCCTCTCCCCTTCAACTGGGGCAGGGACACCTCCCACCTTCAGCTAACCTAGCTGCCGTGGAGTAATCCAGCAGCTGTTGAAGTACATCTGGATCCAAGATGTCTCATAGGAGTGTCCTCCTAACCAGCCATTCCCTTCGTGAGCACCAGCAATGTCTAGTGATTGCTTGTGAAGTGAAAGCAGCTAATCCAGAAAAATTTGACCTGCTTTGACAAGCATTTTCTTGCACAAAATTGTCAAGAAAAGGTTTTCTGCTCTAAATCTGGGTGGTGGAAAGCCCCTTTTGCTATCTTAACTCTCAGACATGAATGAGACTCAAGCACCACCTCTTCTGTTAGCATTTTGCACTGGCGGTGTTTATGTGCCATTGCATTAATCTTCACTCATTCAGGTCCCCAGCTAGCTCAGGAGCACATAAAAAGATGCAGGAGTCTAACTTAGAAGGAGAAACTCCATTAGAAAGCAGAAAATTCAAGTTAGGTGTTGCAGCTCCAAATGTTAAATTTAGAAGACCCTGTATAGATTTAACTCTTGGTTCTTTCCCTTACAATAAGGATGCTTGCAGGGAAAAAACACTTTAGAAACACTAATCTACACACATACTGCATATTACATGTCCTTCTTTCTCAGAAATGGCATGTTACATCTGTTTACTGTAATTAAAAAAACAAGTATTTTCCAGTGTGCTTTTCCTTCCAAAGAAATATTGGCTGAATTCTCTAATTTTATCAGGCTGTGGGAACATTAAGCTAAGAAATAAGTTTTGCCTTCAGTTAAAATAAAGCAATAAAAACAAAAAAAAAGGGAGAAAAAGTACAGTGACATGAGCACAGTTTCTTCTGCTATGTGATGAACAGATTAGCAATAGCTGCACTGAGAAAATATATATTGTTTCTGAAGCGTAGTCAGAGCCATACAGGACTTCTGAGGGAGGTTTCAGGCAGAAGTGCAGTCATGAGAGCAAGAGGAATACAACAGACAAGTGGAAAAGTGGTTTATACAAACCATTTAACCATGGAAGAATGTTCTAAGACTATGCCTTTACTTGCTCTAATAAATTTTCCTGTTCAGCATTACAAAGCATTTTCTTATGTCATGCTGTTATCTTGGAGCTTTTTAATATGCAGCTTATTTCTTTAAAACCTTTTACAGCCCTCCTCTGTTGTGCTTTTCTGGGTATTTGATGTGTGCTTTAACTAGAAAGAAGATCGTAAGAGTTGCAGCAGTCCTGGTGCTAACCATGGACCAGGGTAAAAAAGCATGTACAAAACAGTACACTGGAAGAAGAAAACTTCACAGAATTAAAGAAACCAAAACAATAAATAACTAAAGATAGTTACCACTGCAGTTAACTCCATCAGCTTCCAGTTCATAGCCAGGTTCACAGCGGCAAAGAAAAGAGCCATAGGTATTGACGCAGTTCTGAGTGCAAGGGTTTTCACTTGTGCATTCGTTCACATCTATGGAAAACCAACGCCCAATGTATCACTGACTTCACCCCAAACTCTATTTTTAACTCATTACTGTAAAAATTTCAAAGAGATTAGCTGTACAGTAAGAATGATTTGTTCTGAAAAAATACAACCGAGTCAGCATCGTTTATTGGGATTCAGGCTGATGCCTGGAAATAGCATGTTGGAAACACAGCATGCCTGGAAATGGGGAATGTCTCCAATAAAAAAAAGACATGGAAGATGTGGATGAAATATTTATTACAAATGCTTCTGCCGTTATCCTGCAATTTTAAAGCCATTGAACTGATTTGTCATAACAGACCTAAGAAAAAATGCAGCAGGATATTCCTGAAGAAGAAAATGCAATAAGGAACAGTCCTCAAGGAAACCTAGGACTAACACAAAACATTTTTTTTTTTTTTCCTCATTTTAGGACATGAGCAGCTTCTCATTAGCAGTTCATCATTAGCAGAGACCATTTCCCACAGCATGTGGGAAGACGGTCCTTGCTTAGCTAGGGACAGGCTTTACAAAGAAATTGTGTTGACTTCCAGAAAAGGGAAATGAAACTGGTGAAGGAACTAGAGGACATGGCTTATGACGAGTGGCTGAGAGAACTGGGGTTGTTTAATCTGGTGAAGAGAAGACTCAGGGAGGGCCTTACCACTCTACAACTCCCTGACAGGAGAATGGAGCAAGGAAGTTGCTCATCTCTTCTCCCAAGGAATGAGCGATTGGTGAAGAGGTAACAGCCTCAAGCTGCATCAGGGGAGATCTAGATCGGGTATTAAGAAAAATTTATTCACCAAAAGGATGGTCAGGCATTGGAACAGGCTGCCCAGGGAAGTGTTCAAAACCCATGTACATGAGGCATGGTTTAGTGGTCAGGCCTGGGGCAGAGGCTGGATGTGCTGATCTTAAAAGGTCTTTTCCAACCTAGTTGATACTATGATTCTGTGACAGATTCTATGACTTCGGTTGAGGTAGCATATCACAGCAAAAGGTGGTCCAATGCTCAGGACCCAAGTCTGGAACTTGGAGACTCAGATCTAATCTACTGATCTGACAGAGTTTCCCTGTCTCAGATGGGTCACATAGACTCAGATTTTAGATATGAAATCAGTGCTTAAACTCTTGGTAATTTCAGTGAAACAAGTAACTCTAGATTTTAGGGGGTTTGTGTCCCTGCGCGTATTTCTCTCCATACATTAGTCATGTTGCACCTGTACCTCTCCGAGGTACTGTGAAGCTGCAGAAATATCTCAGGCTGACAATCATTAACGTTTTCAAAACAGTGCTAGGAAGGTTACTTGTATTCTAAAACATAAGCGAGTTTTAAGGGAGCTGCTGGGTTGGAACCAAAGATTTCAGTCATTCACCATACCTTGGCATGATCTTCCATCATCATTAAGAGTAAAGCCTGGGTTGCACGTACAGGAGTAGGAACCGGGTACATTGGCACACAGCTGCTGGCAGTAGCCGTAGCGACATTCATCTATATCTATAGATGGGAAAGATGAAAAGTAGAGTTGCCTGCATTTTCACATGCAGGTACAAAGCAGCAAACACACCGAGTCAACAGTACCAATAACACAGAAATAACCCAGCATACTGGTTAGGGATATAACAGCCAAACTTTTAGATGTTCAGACCCAGAGTCAGTCAAAATACGTCTCAACCCAGAAGAATGTAGTAATGTGTTTTATCCACAGCTGACATCTATCAGTATGCCCCATGAGGTGTCATTGCTGTAATCTTCGTCTTAATGTGATACCTCACAGAAGCCAAGAATCAGTCCCATTAAGCAGCCACCTTGAAGCATACCTGACAGCTGGCACAGGCCATCAGCACAAGCACAGCCAACATTGTAGCAAAGTTTTGCCAGAAGCAAGATAGAAATCTTTTTTACCTCTGCAAATACCAAAGCTACTCACTAGGAAAGCAGTATTTGTTACTAAATACTGCTTTTTTAGAGAGGATATTCTTTAAGGCTTTTTTCCAAATAGTCACATTCATATTTTATATTCATTTTTAACAGACAAGATACAGCCTCTAAAATATAAACAGTACATTTAATGCCAAAATAGCAGTTTGGGCTGAATTGCAGCATTAGCAATACATGGAACTACTACTTAACAGTGCAAGAAAATGGTGTAAAATATGTGTGATGGTAAATGCTAGAAGAATTTAGCTCCTGGAGTAAGAATTGGAATGAAACACCTGAAGTAGCTGACCTTTCCAAAGCTTTAAATTTCCTCTGGTATCAATTGGCTTTTGATTTATGGAGATTTTTTGTAATGGTTATTCTCAAAGCTTTGAAGTCAAGTTTGTGGAGTAAAAAAACAAGTGTATTATCTCTGGTCAGATAGCAAGATAACCTAAAGTCCAGGGTCACGTATGGTATGTAGGCCAGCAAAAGCTTGGCCTAAATCCTGAAAAAAGTAACATGGGGTTTTAAGTAAATTAATATCTTATTTCATCAATACAATAGATTACACAAAATACATACTTTGGCTTTTGCAGGACTGTTATCTCAAGAGCGCTACATTTTGAGGATAAGGACTTTTACACGGCTGCATTTGTGGGTGGGTTGTGTGGATACTGCTGTAGATACCAGGATAATTACAACTGATAGAAGTGTAGTTTTTTGTAACTGGGGTTTATTAACAGTGCACCAAAAAAGTCTGTCTCTAAAACCTCTGATTACAGTAAATGGTGTCCTACTGCTTTACACCAGCAAAAGTCACTTCTCCAAAGGCAGTGGAAAGCACGGAAAACAGAATTTTCTGACACTTAGGGAAAAACATAGCAACTGTAAACACAATTTGCTTTTAGCTCTTTGCTTGGTCTTGTAATAATCTCACAGGATTGTTTAAAGTGAGCAGCACTGGGGGGGGGTATTACTGCTTTTTTTAAACAGCATAAGCAGATACCTGAATCAGTTCAGCAATACAGCCATTTCAGTTCTCTGGTATATCCATCAAGCAGTAAAGTACTTTAGATTGATGTCTAAATCCTGAACTGCTGTACACAACCCTTTTGTTTAGGCTGTAACTGGGAGAACCAAATGGGTAACAAAACTGGTGATGCAAAGCAGAATCCCACTCCCTGCCCTCCCTCATCTCCACCCCATCACATACACCTGCACAACTCCTGGAACAAACCTTTCTTCCCCAAGAGAAGAAGAATTATCAGAGATTAAGAAGCAAGGGAGTTGGAGACTTCATATCCCAAGAGAACTACAACACAGTGACTCCCCAGAGTGGCTATGGCTGCACAGATCCTGGCTCGGATGAGGCTCAGCTCTGTCCCTGCCAGATTAGCTACACAGCAGCTGTTTGCAGTAGTTGGGAAAGCAGCCGTGAGTCAGTCCTTCACTGGAATTGGTACTTGAGAGGAGAAAGTTGGAAAATAACTGGAGAGGATCCAGGGATGAATGGGAAAGGAAAGCCCGTTCTCCTTCCAGCGGAGGCGTTGTGGCATGACAGTCCAGCTCCACGGAGCTGGCAGGCAAACAGCCTGTGCCATGGGGAAAGATATATTAATGAGCAAACATTACCAAAAAATGTTGTATCCTATCTCCTAGGTCCTATCTGTGTACCTAAAATTAACTTCTACTTCATCGTCACATGGGCACGTCAAGTGAGGGGAATGGGCTGGAGGAAACGGGAGCTGGAAGGTTTTCCTGTGCTGTTATTGAGGGATGGCTTTTTTTTTTTAACAGGTATGAGCTAAAAGTATGAACAGGACACTGCTGCAAGGAAAATAATAAATCGAAATAAAACTGGTTGGAAGCTACCAAAACAGCACTCAGCTCAGAGGCATTTCTCACCTGAAAGCAAATGATTTGGTTGGTTGAATCTAGGGATTTACTGGTCTGTTTCTTGGTATCAGATACTGATTCCTATGGGTCCACATTGTCACAATGTGGAAAGGACAGGTCTGTTAGAGAATAAATCTTTTTGTCTACTTGTTTGTGATGGATCTTATATGAAAGGGAATCCTTCAGACTGGGAATATGAAAATCCCACATGTTAGATGGATGTTAGTCATATGGCATTTACATTTTTGTTCCACAAGGGAGTCTCTGCCAAGCATACCATTGGCACTTACAAAGATGAAAGACAGTTTCCACGTAGCTGAAGGTTTAACCGTGTACTTGACAAAGAGACTCAGTGCCATTATTTCAGCTATTCATAGGTACACATGCACAGATGCTCAAATAGCATATCACATGAGGTTTTTACCTAAACACTGGCCTTCTAACAGCCAGTAGCCTTCAGTGCAGGAACAGGTATAGCCCCCCTCAGTATTAATGCAGATCTGGGTGGGGTTACATTGGTGAGAATCTGAAGCGCATTCATCCACATCTGCAACACAGAAATAACAGCAAGAAAATGTTAGAAATGGCAACAACAGAAGACCGTGCACACTGTAAAAGGGCTTGCATTCACAATGTGTACACTGGCCCCAAGCGAGGAACCAAAGTGTGGTGGAGCAGAAAGAATGACCATGACCTGAAGTAAAATTCATAGTAATAAATATCTGAGGGAGGTGAGAACTTAGAGTGCTCACCAAATCTCTCCCTTTTGCAGATGTCTCAAAGTTTCTCAGAGCTCCTCAAGAGAGGGATTGCATTACCTTGAGCTTTTTATTACTTCCACACCGAACTTTGTCACTGAACTGAGATTTCCATGCTACATGGCAGTGTTCAGCCCTAGGGAAAGGCTGCTAAAAGGGCTATATAACCCCACTGTGGAGTTAGAGATGAATGGGAATTCGAGAGATGTACAAACACAATTCAGACATACAAAAACAATTATTTCCTGCTCTTACCAGTGCAGATTATCTCACTGTAATTTTTCTGACAGAAAGTTCAACCAAAATCAACCTTCACCTGAGAAAAAAAAAACCCCACACACTTCCCTGGAATCAATTTCCTGACAATAAAACTCTTTAATTTTTTTTAACCATCTTTAATATTTGTAACGTATTTGGGTTTTATTACAATGCCTCAGGGTGGTTTGTTGTGGGCTTTTTTTTTTTTTCTTTTCTTTTTTCTTTTGCAGGGGAGGTGAATAGCATTCCTACATTTATATAAGCCAGGACCCTGGAACCTAACTGATTAAAAATGCCTTTCAGAGTCAGAAGTTCAATTTGAATCCCTCCTTGCTCAGTCTCTTCCCTGATGTTTCTGGCATTGGGTTTGCCTCTAGATGTCAGAAATGGAAATATCAAAAGACAAATTGTGTCATTTTTTCAGCCAGCTCAGATTTCTATGTTTTATTTATTGATACCTAAACTATTTTTTATTCCAGCATACTGTGCACTGGCCTTTGCTGAAGTACTGTGCTGCTCCCTTGACCACCCCATCACCACACACCACCACTCCCTCCCATTCTTATTAACACAGACTTTGCTGGATCACAACTGAAAGTATCTCACAAACGTGCTGGGCTGGAGTAGACAGCAGAGGGCAGGAACTGCCTCTCAATATCTGCCCTGAGGCACCTAGCACAGTCAGGCAGCTCTGAGTCCCCAGCAGTCTTAAAATAACTAAGCCAATCCACCACAGCAGCGTATCTAACATGTTCAGATATATAAATAAATACATATATATCACATATATGGAGAGAGTTCTTATCTTGCCAACATCTGTACCAGAACAATTTATGTTGAGTCAAAGCTGGTAAGATAACAAGACTGGGACAATTAGAAGTAATTAACTCTGTCAGAAATCGGTTCCCATGTATTTATTGGCCAGACGAAGGTTGGCAGAACAGTGGGGGAAGTGGAAAAGGGGTAAGATAACAAGTCTAGACTATGTAGTTATATATATATGCTATTCAGTTCAGCTATTGCTTCTGCAATTGGGCTAAAAATTCTGGATCCCTTCACACAGCATATAACATAATTGGTAGTATTTGAACACAGATTTTATCTAACCATAAATTTAACAAAAATGACATTATTTTCTCCTAAATGAAAAATCTTTCTATTTGTCATGTTTGCTTATTCTTTTAGGAGTTGGACCTTGGGATCTGGCCAATTCTGCTGTTTTGAACCTACCCCAAGCTTAAAAAAGGAGGTTTTAATTTTCCATGCTCCCTGCTTCCAATAATATTAACAGATGAAGCATAGTGGAGACAGAATGAAGGTCAGGATAGTACCACCACATATGGTAGCAATGATGTTTGAAGAATATAGATCCTCTACTGCTCCGTGGTGCATCTTTCTTGCAGGGGTACGACATGCATCCTTCATCAAAAGTAATGGCTGGCTAAGGGATCAGCTTTGTTCCTGAGCCATCTTTGTAGCAGTTGCATGAGCAGCAGTAAAATCACTCCAGAAAAGTAAAACATTGATCATCTTTCCTTTGCTATCTACTGATCAGATTTCTCTGCTTACTCACAGTCTTCAGCTTCTCTAGTGGTATTGCAGACATACTTCCATTTGAATGCAGAATTTTTTACAACAGGGCTACCTGAAGGGTTTCTGCTGTCCCTAGAAAACCTGATCAACCTGAAGTTCTCTATGTAAAACACCTTGATTCCTGCACTTTACAGTGAACAGTACTTCGCTGTTGCTCAATGCAACCAACAGGTACAAACTGCTTTACTGGTAGTATCAAATCTTTTTGTTTTGGCCTGCGTGCACACACCGAGTTCCATATTACCAGTCTCTGTCTTTCTCTAAGATTGCCCCTTACCATGATGTCCCATTAAACGCTGACAGACTCAGCCAATGCAACCAAAAAATATGTTGGTACAACCGTTGGTTAACCATTAGGTATCATCCTGAAGAATATCAGAACTGGGAGACAGAGGGAACATTGCCCAGCTCATTTACACAGTTCAGCATACAGTAAATCTGGTATAGCTGATAGAGTCAAAACTAGACATTTGACAGGGAAAGGAAAAAAAACCAAAAACCAGATTATTTCCACTGAGGAGAAAACTAGTTATAAAACTTAGAGAGATTGCCTATAATGGATTCACTATACTTAAGTGCCAGCATAGAAATTATATCAAAACACTCTCAGGGCATTTTTGGTTGAGTGGAAAATTGCAAGTGGAAACTATCTGACAGCTAGTCAATAATATGTAAATCATTTCTTATTGTGATTGCACAGCTTATTTCTGTCCCATTTGAACACAAATCTTAGGTGTGATAATGCTCTGGTAATATCACTTCAAAGTTCTGCCTCTGCCCTTGTGATGGGGGTCACACGCAATACTAGTGTAAGACTGTGATGTTAAATGTACACGATTCTAGATTGTCATCAGTTTTGTATGTTCAAAGCAGATAAGACAAATTCAGGTAATAAAAAATAAATGTAAGAACTACTCAATACAAGGATTAGAACATGTGGCAAAGCAGCCCCTGAGATGCAGTTTTCTGAAGCCTGGAAGAGTGTCTCTGACCCAGCATAACTGGAGTTGGAGTCTTCACCATAGAAAGAAATACCACAATGGCATGTCAGCCCAAGAGCAAAGTCTAATAAGCTGGAGAGTAGAATAGTTACTAAAGCAAAGCAAGCTAGCAAGAAAATCTAGAAACTCCACTGCCCGCCATTCAGGGTGCAAATAGGTTGTGATATTTGGTGGTTTTAACATCAGTACCATGAAAGCATCAGATGATGTCACCCATCACGGATGAGTTCATTATACTGAACCTGCTTTTAGTACCTTTTATAGCCAAGATCCTTAGAAAACATTACCTTTATCCCAAGAGCAAGTCTAGATTTTGCTAACAGCTAGCTTTAATGAATACCTCTTCTGTGGTTTTGGCTAGATTACTCAGTATGCGGCTACAAGGAGAGTTGCTATGAGGTCAACTAGGACACAATTATAAAGTAGGTGTCCTCAGTGAAAACAAACTAAAGGATCTGGTAGTTACTGTGCAGGACAAAGAACCAGCACAGCAGCAGTGACCACACTGTATCTTAAGTGCTGAGAATTTACTCTGTGGGAACTCACACTTTCTCTTCATCTTCCACCTCCCTGCTTCCTATTTGAAAAATGAGGATAACAGAATCTCTGTTTGTAGTCAAGCCTACCTCACTGTTTAGCATCTAAAACTATTCATGGCAGGGCCTGTCCTCTTCTATAAAGAGAGAGTTCACAGTTAGTCCATTTTTATTTGAAGCCTTCCAATCCTCATACAAATCAAACTGTATTACAAAACACTGCAATGTCCCATTTGCTGGTAAATATCAGTGTCCCTGGATTTTAACAAGGAAATTCAAGGCTAAGGAATGAAAAGACTAGCCTGAAATCACTCAACAATACAGCAGCAAGAACAGGTCACAGCTATTTCTGACTTGTAGTCTTTCATGTAGCCGCTGTTATATGATTACTTAAAAATGTGACCTTTTCAGGAATTTTGTGCAGCCTCTACATTGGCTATTGAGATCTAAAGTAAAGATTAATGATCATTCTGAAAGCATTATATTCTACTAGGAGACCTCAGTGACATCAAAGGCTCTTTCAGCTAAACTCTATGCTACTCCCAGTGTTAATGGTTTACCCTAATGGTGCATCGAATCTTAGTTTCCAGAGGTTACTGAAACAGAAACAGAATTATTGACACTACCAGTGGCAAATTGAAAATGTTATCTAGCTACCACACTTCTTACCTCTATAGACAGAACTGGGACTGTTGCTGTGAAATTACATACGAAACTAAGAGGATGTTTAAGATCATCATATCTAATCATTTTGCGTGAGTCCAAATTTTCCCAGGTGACTCTGAGTGACTTCTTAGAGGTTCCTGACTTTGAGAGTGCTGCTGTTCAGCACTTAAACTACAATAGAAAACCAAGGCAGGCCAGGATGGATCACTGTTCAAAACTTCTCTTGTCAAAGAGTCCATGGCCAGCGCTGGCCCTGGATATCTTGGCTCTTGATTATGCTGTGTGATGTCAAACCAGCAGTCATCCACTTTCAGACATCCATCCTTCCAGTCGCTCCGTTCACATTAATGCTCCCACAGCTAATTCCAAGGGCAGAAGTTCAGGCAGAAGTCCAGTCTGAAATTAAAATTTTACCTGAAGTGGGAACAATTCTCTTTGTTACTTCTCAAAGGAATGCTGAGAGCAACCACACAGCCCATCCAGACCTCTTCTCTGCCTCCTAAGAAATGCCACCTAGAATGAATGCAGAGCCTCATGGTTGAAGTCACAAGTTTTAAAGATCGTTGGTTTACTGGATGAATGAGAGAATAGGTAGGTGGTATCTCCATATACATCTGTCAGGAAGCCCTTGCTGCAAGAGCCTGAGCCTCAATCCACCAAAATTGACCACATCCCTCTCTCTTAGTTCAGTGCATCTGCCTTAAAAATTTATGGCTGTGGTGGTTTGGTGTAGCA